AACAAATAAAATAAAAAAAAAACGTATTCAACACTCCCGACGACCGCAGGAGGGATCAACGACCCGCTGATCAACCCGCTTTCCGGGCTGAGATGCTCCAAATTGATGGTTTTCCTGTCAGAGAAGGACCAGCTCACGGCGAGAGGTTTGGCCTACGCGGAGAAGGTGAGAAGAGCAGGTGGAAAGGTGAGATTGAGGTAGTGGTGCTTGACGGCGAAGACCATTGCTTTCAGATTTTCAATCTGGAAACTGAGAAGGCAAAAGATCCGATTTGCCGCATCCGAATTCATTTCAAGGAGTGAGAATTAGGTTTTTGATTTGGGGAAATAATAAATTGAAATACTCCATTATTTAATAAATTGAAATGCTTCACTGGGATAGCATTTGTTTTATGATAATTATGGATAAATTTCACTATTGATATCTTGAGGTGGTGGTGGGCCGAGCTTCACGAAGGTGGCCGGCGACGGAGATACACGGTCGTTGAGAGAGAGAGAGAGAGAGAGAGAGAGAGAGAGAGAGAGAGAGAGAGAGAGTTGTGTGTTTTGGGTTTCTTTATGATTTTCAATAAAAATAAATGGATAATAATAATATTAATATATATGTGGGGAGTTGTAAGGAAAGAGAAAATTATATTAAGGAGTGCAGTGGAAAACTTTTTTACTTAGGGACTGAATAAGAAGATGAAAAGGGGAGTGAGGATTTAATAAGAATTTACCGCCTTTTATAATAGTAAATATAAATATAAATAGATACGTGTTTGTTTGACCTTATTTAGTTTAAGAAATAATTTGTTGTAAGCCACAAGATGTAACACGAGAAAAAAAAATAATAAAAAAAATTAAAATAAAAAGATCGTATATTGAAACAAATATAAGCCGGAATTAAATAAACTATCGTTGAAAAAAAAATGGCAATGACAATCTCTTCACACATTGGATATGTTTTTCAGCTCTAACTAGGGCTGCAAATGAGTCGAATCGAGTCGAACATTAGCCTTATCGAGTAAGATTATTCCTTTTTACCTGCTTGAGCTCGAGCTCGATTTAGGATGCTCGAAATCGACTCGACAAAAGAAGACAATCGCTCGAGCTTGACTCGAGATCAATTGAAATCAAATGCTCAATATATTGCTCGAGCTCGGCTCGAGTTCAACTTAAATTTCAAGTAAAATTATCATTAAATACATATATAAAATATTGTAATATTTATATATAAGGGATATTTTTGTAATTCACTACATATCTCGAGCCGTGAGCTTGACCTTCTATAACTTATGCTCGAGATCGACTCGATAACATGCTTGAACCACTCGAGCTCTGCTCGAATTTGATCAAACTCTAGCTCGACCCGAGCTTTGGCTCAGGCACTCGCAAGCAGCTTGCGATGCGCCCGTTTGCAACCCTAGCTCTAAAGTCTTTGAAAATCACCATATCGTGGTTCAAAATCTCCGAGAGCATTCAACCTCGGACCCCAAAGTCATCCCCGTAAAAAACATAAACATTTATGGGTAAACTAGCATTATAGTTCGCCAGCACAGGCTTGAGAATCAATGAAAAGTCAAACGCCACGATAACAAGCGATTGGGGTTTTTGATAGGCACCACTAGGATCTCAAACAAGATTTGAGGAAGCAAACGGAGCTTGCCGATGCGTAGAGCATAGTGACACGACACGACTTAGGTTGTTTTACGGTTTTTTGGCAAGATTGTGAAATTTTATGTATTGCAGACAATACAAATATTGTTAGATTGCAATATTTAAAAATTTCATTTTATTAGATTTCAACGTTTAAAATTTCATATTTGATAAGTATTCAATTTTTCCTCCAATATACTTCACTATGCAATTATTTTCTCAATGTTATCATTCCATTAACCAACTTCAACATCCATCACTTACTAAAATTGTTTGAATTTGAGGCCCGTGTGGGGTTTGAATAGGATTCGACTAGATTCAATCACTATTGTTGATACCCGTACGATGCGCGTGGTGCAATATAAAAATATTTTTTATTTAAAAATATAAAATTATTTAAGACGATATGAAATTATATTCTCCACAATATTCAATTCAGTAATAACATGACATGTATTTATTCACTATTACTGTTAATTTCTATTTTTATACTTTTTTTTTTGTAGTTGTTGACTATTTAATACATAAATTTTATTATTTATAAGTTTATAAAATATTATAAATGTATAAGATCATATGATATTGACATACAAATTACTTGTATGTACTTATAAAATTTTCGTTCATCATAGACTTCTACTTTTTTTAACAATTAATAATTTGCACATTGATTGATAATTGACCAACGTTTAACCCGTAATATTTATCGTCCGCTATAATTATTAAGTGCATTACATGTTAAAAACTTGGGAAAATAATTTTTTCCAACCTCTACTATATACAGGCTTTTGGGGTTTTCACCCTAAAGTATTTTTTATTGTAAAATGTAACATGAACTACATATACAGTCACTATTTGTATGCTCGACCACACCTTGACCACACACGTGTCTTTTTTGCAGATGATCGGTACGGCCAAAAAGTAGTCGAGCGTGCAAATAATTCTATATATGTAGTTCAGGTTGCATTTTACAACAAAAAATACTTTAGGTTGAAAATACCAGAAGCACGTATAGTACAGGTTGGAAAAAATTATTTACCTTAAAAACTTTGATAAATAAATTTTAACTTTTAGTAACTTTAATCCCTATGCAACACATAATATTTTTATGGTCAATATTTTATTTTTATGTTTTCATTTTTTATTTATATTTATTTCTTTAAATCATTTTTTCAACTTATATAATGAGTTACATAGCATCAATTCAAATATTTAGATATATTATATATTTTCATTATTACCAAGTGCTATAATTTAAAATATTATACATTGCTTTTTATTAACTTATTTTTCATTTATAAATGTTATATGAGAAAAAATATAAATTTTTAGAAATTAAATAGTTTTTTAATGTACATAGATACTTCAAAGATGAAATTTATAATTCTGAATTGAACCCGACCATCAAATTTTATTTTTATTAGTGTATCATTTAAATTTTTATAGTATTATCATTGCATATGATATATTCAATGGGGTGTACCTTTTTTTTTTAATATAAATTGACTACAGTTTAGAAACTTTTATTAATATGTTAAATTAGTTATTAAGTTATTATGATTTAAACATAGTTATTCTGATTACTATATTCGTGAATAAAGAAATTTAATTGCTTTCAGGGGGCACAAGTTTGAAGATGAAAGAGTGAACGTTCAGATGTGTCCCAGCCCAGTTGAAAACACTTATCCTCGGCCATTATCAACTTTAGATTTTGCGATATTTGCAGATTGATATAAATAAATAGAATAAAAAATACTATTGTATATTATTGAAAACCTCGGTGTAGATAATAATTTTACCTTGTAGATGCACCATCCTCTCCGCAAACTAATATTTTCAAGCCAGTTCGGTTAGTGATACGGGAAACAACTACATACAACTGGGCGTGACTGAACGTCGATTTCTTCAAGAACATGTCAACAAGTGATAAAGACTGACTCTGACTCTTGTTAATTGTCATGACATAAGAAACTATTATGGGAAACTGCTTCCGCTGAAAGTTTAAAGGTACTCTAAAGTCGAATGGTGTTAGTCATCTGAGGTATCAACTCTTTTTCTCATGCATTAGATCCAGACAATATCTTACATTCAAGCTATTCGCTCAAACAATTCCATTCGACTTTTTCTATATTATATATTTTTGTTTTTTAATTAATCAATATATAAAATACGTGTAATTGTATATGCATCCGACGATTCAGAAAATAAAAAATCCAACGATACTAAAAAGAAAATATATATTTTTTTTTTTAAAATTATATTTGGTAGTTAATTAATTAGTTAATCATTCAACTAATATATCTTATTGTTAATTAAGGATGTTTTTACCTAATATCCAAAATAGCTTTTTAATCAAGCCTAAGAAATATCCAAGATTTCCTAAATTATATCTAGTTGTTACTTAATTAATCATTTAACTAATATTTGGCCTTTTCTTAAAATATATTTGATTGTTAATTAATTATTCATTTAGCTAATATCCAAAAATAATTTATGTAATCAATTCCTAAAAATATTCCGTTTTCTTCTAAATTATATAAAGTAGTTACTTAATTAAATATTTAACTAATATTTGTTTTTATTTTTTTGAACGAAAATTAAAACTCCTTAATTTTCATGCTAAAATAATTTTCCTAAAAATTTGTTTGAAATTCGTGATTACAATTTTTCCCTAAAAAAATGATGGGTGCACAAATTATAGGATAAAAATAAAGAGATCTAGGTAATTTTTAAATTATCATAAATGATTTTTTTTGGTAAATTAATTGTTTCCTTGGATGAAAATTAATGAGATTTTTATCCAAAAAAAAATCAACTTCAAAAATATCAAGCAATTAGTGGTCAATGGTTCTTTCTATAATAAAACTTAAAATGAATATATAGCTATAAAAAAATTATGAAATGCATGTGAGATTAATAAAGTAATATAACAATTTATGGTGAATATATATATTTTATATTATCACCTCTCATAGACGAAAAAATTTATCCCCAAAATCATGCACATTATATAGTTACAGATTCTGGGTGGTATAAGAGAGGCATTGATGGTGGTCTGGCGGTGCCCTAAATGAAGCACGTCCCCCTCTCACGCACAGAGCAAGCAGTGACCAGAGAACTTGCGAGTGACAATGGCGAGCAACGGCGATAAATCACCCAGATCCGGCGCCGGGGCAGCGAGCGAGAACCCTGCGTCTGTCGAGGCTGAAATAATCAGAGATGAAGAAGAAGACAACATCGACGACGAAGAAGAGGGGCTCTTCAGCGACCAATTCATGAAGTCGCTGTTTCATCTTATTTTCTGCTTTGTAGTTAATTGATTGCTATTTATTTCCCACACTATTCATGGTGCGTTGATTGCAGTGATTTCCGGAGGATGGGAAAGCAGGACCAGCACGAAACCTTGGGTGTGGATGATTCCATGGAGGATGATAGGGATTTGGACCAGATTATGGCTGACAGCAGAGCTGCTGAGATCGAACAACCTTCTCGTTCTCACCAAGGTGGTCCTCTTTTTCATTTAATTATGTCGATTTATTCAGTGGTTTTTTGCTGAAAAAATGTATACTTCTACTGTATGTATAGATTCTTCAGTACTGCTCTAGTTGGATAAATTGTTTTGCTGCATGACCATTGACCCTAGTGTTGTTCTGATCACAAGAAAAAACTGCAACACATGGTGATATAAGAATGAGGTTTGAAATTATAGGTATGGGATAAACTACATGTAGAGGTAGTCTTGGGCTATGTTTGCTATCCGAGTCTACCCATGAGATATACTCGTCACAACCAAATTGGAAAATTGCCGACTCAAATTAATATTATTATGTGAATTGTGAACTGTGTTAAATGACCAAGATACTTAATTTCAGACACCAATGATGATGAAGACAGGCTGCCGATAAGAACTAGAGGTGACAGGCAGCCAAATACTCCAACCAGCATGGATGATACTGATGGGATACACAGTTCACCCGGTAGATTGCAAGGAGTGAACTTCAGAGATGATGTATCCATGACTGATATGGACGATGTATGTATTTCAGTTATATATGGCTTAATCTATTCTGAATGCGAGAAGCATTATTAGGAATGTCCTGTTAAAAGGTGCTGCTATCTCTATAGGATGAAGAGAATGAGGAAGGTGAGTTTAAGATGTATAGGGTTCAAGGAACCCTCACAGAGTGGGTTACGAGAGATGACGTGAGGCGTTTCATTGCCAAGAAGTTCAAGGAGTTCTTGCTTACTTATGTGAATCCAAAATTGGTTCATGGAGACTTTGAGTACCTAAGGCAGATAAATGAAATGGTGGCGGGTAACAAACTTCCTCCTGGAAAATTTTAAATGTTATTTTCACAGTCTAATATGGGTGAATTTAGTAGGTTGTTTGAGTTTGGTTTCATACAGCCAGTGATCCCACTATGACTTTTTTCAGTTGTGAATTAACTTAATTCATTTTTACCTCTGCAGTTAACAAGTGCATTCTGGAGATTGATTACATGCAATTTCTCTTTACCCACCCGAACATTGGAATCTGGCTTGCAGATGCTCCTCAGTCGGTTCTCGAGGTTATGGAGGAAGTTGCCACTAAGATTGTTTTCCAGTTTCATCCAAATTACAGCAAAATCCATCAGAAGATATATGTGCGTATCACAAACCCCTTGTATGATCTGATTCCTTATTCATGAAGCATCGTTTTTATATTTAAACCTGGAGAGATGATCCAAAATGGGAAAAAAAAGGCAAAAGGGTTACTGATGGAGTCGAGACTGCTATAGCATATTTGAATAAATACGATCGCCTCCGACTTTAGCTTATTTAGTTATTATTAATTTCCCTTTTTCGTATTTTTAATTATATTTTTATTTAGTTAATTTATAATGGTAGGAAATAATAATCTTGCACTTGTTAGGCAAGATAAAGACTCTTGTTTATTTTATCTGCCTGGGAAACAGAAGGAACGCAGTTTTAATGAGAATTTATATCTGATTTGTGATTTCTATCGAGAGAGCATCTCGTTCTTCCCAATTTCGTATCACGTTCTACATCGGTTACACACGCACAAGGCTTTTCTCTTTTTAATAAAGATGAGAGAATCTTTACCCATGGTGAGATTGCATCATAGTTCATGCTTTTAAGCTGTAAAGCCTTTGAAAATCATCATAGATGGTTCAAAATAGTCTTTGACCTATATACAAAATATATTGAATATATACAAAAATATAATTGAAATAAAAAAAATATTTAAAAGTCGTGAGTTATGAAGCATATCGCTGTTGTGAATGGTTTGTATTAAAGAAAAAAAAATATAATAATGTAGAAAAAATATGGTTGACCAATGAGTAACTATTATAGACCTGAGTAGTTCTACGGTTTGTAGATTATTTTGACTTAAAATATCTGAAAAACTTATGCAGCATCAATATATCCTTATCATCAACAAACCAACGAACTCATACTTCTCACACAATAGATAAAGATGAGTAAAAATGAAAAAAAATAAAAAAATAAAAGAAAGGACAAAGATGAGTAAAAAATGCTGGCTCACAAAATGTATTCTTTATGGTCCCGAACAAATCCCGAACAGCCCTCGAATCTTCGTTATTTCTCATCATTAGTAAAAAATGCTCGACTGAATTTCTGAGAAGGAAGCACTCGACTCCATGCGTGGGAAAATTAAGAGACTCGAAAAGGAAGATCGGGAGATAGAGAAATAGATGATAATAAAGTCGTCGAGTTTGCAGAATGTACTCGGGTCAATGGAGGCTTTCAGTGGAAGCTCGCTGAGAGTTAACGAGGAGCGGTTGGAACAGATGAATGTGCTCGATTTTGCATCTTGAGGAAGAGTTTTTTCAATAGTCGAAGTTCTCGATTTTTCGAAAAGTGGAGGGCTAAAAGGACATATATACAGGTTCATTCGTCTGTTTGATCTATGTGTTCTCGTGAGTATCAAGAATAAAGGCTGCTTATCGACGCAAGTTACGTGAGCTTTAGGAGGAAAAATGAAAAATTCAGTCCATGTATAAGAAAGTAAAACTAGGAACCAATTCATGTTACACTATAGAGAATCATTTTTGTACAAAAATAAAAAAAATAAAAATAAATTAATATTTACACTATATAGATCCATTTGCAGTTTAATTTTCAATACTGGCAATTGGTTCTTAACCTCAACTCTTGTATAGGGAGGCATGTGATATTGATTGGTTGAGGTAGGAGAGTTATTCGAGTCTTGTAGGAGTGTTATTCGAGTCTTGCCGAGCTAAGTAGCTCGTTTTTCGAGCTCTTGCTTGTTTAATAGACGAGACAAAGGATAAGCTTGTTTAATAAATCTAAAACTTCAAATAAGTTCGCGAACAAGAAATGTTTGTCAGCGGACAAGTTCGGGCGCCCTATTATTTCATTCCAAACTCACGATAAAACCAAAAAATTTAAAGACGAGTTGTTCACGAACAAGCTCATTTACCTGTTTCCGGTTTGTATAAGTACACGAACGAGTTGATTTCGAACTTCTACGAGCAGAATGAAACTATGTTTGCAAATAATTAAGATTGGTTGAATTCTAATTGAAGGTAGAAAATGAGGGCATTTTTGAGCGGGAAACATTGCGTGGACATAGCCGGACTTTGCATTGATTAGCTAACCGTACCCTATATTGATTGAATACAAAAATATATGTACGGAAATATTGTAGCAAGATGTGTCATATTTTTGTTACTTGGGTTCGATCTCAAAGAAAGGCAACACAATTACTTTAACGAGCCAAGATCAAGCTCGTTGAGTAGCCATTAACTTTACGAGCCGAGCTCGGTGTGGATCGACTAGGCATCGAGCAAGAACTCAGGTATCACGAGCTCGAATTTGGCTCGTTTTACAATCTAATTACATATTGACATATAACGCCTTCCCCTAATGCGCTTTTACACTTCTTATCTACATGTAAATGAAGAAGAGTGAAACATGCGCAAACATTGACACTCTTTCTTGGAAGAACAAATAGTCGGCGACCTTATTAGTACCACATTTAATTTTAGAAAAAAATATTATATTTAAAAATAATTACCCATAATCCTACAATATTGCTTCTATTAGACCGATATAACCATTCCATTTCCTGGAAAATGCTACAGCCCCTTAAGGAACCATTGCGTCGGGATTTGTAACCGTTAGATCATCATATAACCGTAGTAGATAGTTGATCTAACAGTTACAAACCCTAACGGAATGGTTCCGTAACATGACCCCAGAATATCCCCCCATTTCATTATAAATACATATTTTCATATTAAATGTTATAATTGTAAATATTCTAAAAATTAAAGTTGGAGACAACGTGAGAGAAACTTGCCGAGGACACTGCCCGACCCCGACAGCATCCCCACACATCCAAATAAAAAAATCATTAATAATCACTTGGATTCCCCTTTAAAACCTCCAAAATAAAATCAAAAACCTCAATTTTTCTCACAACACAAAAACAAAACCAAAGAAGAAAAACAAACACAAAGTCACAAACTATAAACATGATTTCAACTCCTCTAATTAGATCCAAAATCCTAAGCCAATCTTCTAGCTTGCCCTCAAGATCACCACATCCTCTAATCCCTCTATTCGACGAGCATTTGCACGCGCTAAAATCCGAACATGACTCGACCTCTTTACGTTCGATCGCCCGAAAGCTACACGACCTCGGAAACTTACACGATCTCGCGCACGATTTGCTCCTTTTGCCCCACACGCGCCAAGTTTTCGCCCGAGAGCGCAACGAAAAATGGGTCGACGAAATCTTGGAAGGATATCTCCGCCTCGTGGACTTCTGTTTCGTGGCCAAAGATTTCGTGTCCCATTCAAAAGAACACATTTCGAACCTTCTTTTCATCCTCCGGCGTGGCTCGGAGTACGATTTTTCCGAGTTTGTCTCGTCGAGAAAGTCGATCAAGAAGAGTATTCGAAAGTCGTTGAGATCATGTATCGGCAATTTCTTCAAGAACAAGCCATCTGTTTCGACACTACTCGACAAGGATCAAGAAACAATTTCCATCATAAGCATGCTTAAAGAGACAGAGTATTTGACGGTCGAGCTATTCGAGGAGCTTTTGTCGAGCGTGGCTGGCGTGGGGCCGAGCGGCCGGTGGGCCCTTGTCGCCAGCTGGCTGATAAAATCGAGGAACAAATCGGGCGGGCGTACGAAAAGCACGTGTCTTGAATTCGGAGTTTTGGATGCTTTAGTCATGGCGTCGAAATGCGAGACAGGCTCGAAAGTCGAGGATTTGTGGCAGCAGTTGAAGAAGATAGAGTTAGTTATTACAGTTGTTGAGAAAAGATTGGATTGTTTGTTCAAACGTTTGATTAAATCAAGAGTTACACTGCTTAATATGCAGAGCAGTGTAATCTAACTGTAAATATCAAGTTTCCTGTATGCTGATAAATTATCTCTCTCGTCATAGTTTATAAGCTTTACTTTACAAAGTTACCTTTTTTATTAGCCCGAAAAACATTTATTTTTTAAATAGACTTTAATAGAATTTTAACTAAAGAAAAATGCTAACTTAAATTTCCTTTTTCGCGCTTTGTCATACTACGTAGTACTAAGGCTATGTTTGGTAAAACTAGCTGATAAGCTAGCTTATAGCTTATATGTAATTTTTGAGCTTATAACTTATAGTTTATGACTTATAGCTGAAAACCTAGTTTATATGATAAAAGGTGTTCGGTAAATTAGCTGATAAGCTAGCTGAAATAAAAAATTCAACTAGCTTATTTGAAAAGCTACCTAAAGTAGCTTATGAAATAAGCTCGAGCTTTTTAAAAAAGCTCGTCCTACCAAACGAGGCTTATTTTAATACAGGGAATTTATAAGATAACCAAGTAAGCTATAATCTAGCTTATTTGACTTACCAAACATACCCTAATTTTCTTTTGCACTTGGCCTTAATTATGGTCTTCAATTTGCACTCACAGAATTATGCTACTTAACCAACCTCCATTACAACTTGGTTTACAACTAAATGTAATGGAGGCATTAAAAAATTTAATGTCTCCATTACATTTAGTTGTAAACCAAGTTGTAATGAAGGTGGACAATGTAGCATAACCCTGTCTCACAATATGGCCTTAATCCCATATGATATATGATATAGCACGAGCCTACACTATCCAAGACCCTCATCAGTAGTAAAAGAGTTAAAGAAAAAAAAAAACAGAAAAAAAACCAATAAAAAGGCAACACATATATGTCTTCAACTCCCCATAACTAATTATTTCTTAAACAATTATCTAACGAATTAAGTCATTAACTATTACATGTTAAAATTCATTAGATGCTTGAAATTTACACATCTATACATATATAAAGAGAGAAGTTATTTACTAAAAATATTAACAAGAAAAGTCAATTAGTATTTATTGCATTCTATTTTTGACAGTTTTTTAATTGTCTTTTTAAATTATTCCAAAATATCGAGAAGCTATATATGGACCCGAAATTTATAGGTTTTGTGGATTTGATTTAGGTAAATGGCTGATGCTTACAATTTTGTAAAAGTCAAAATTCTTTCTTGTTTTTAATAAAAAAATTAATTACCATAAAATCGAGAATTCGAAATAGGCAAAATACTACCACATATATATTTTCTAATTGCAACAGATCAATTGTTTATTAAAAAAATTGGATTGCATATAAATCGGTTTAATTTAGGTAAAATTCGGCATGACATTTTTTTAAAAGTCAAAATTCTCTAATTTTTTATTAAAATAAATTATTTACCATAAAATCGTGAATTTCGAAAGTTACTATAACATGTATCTTTACCAAGGAAATAAATAGCTCGCTAAAATTGCAGCTATTTGAGAAATAGTTTTTTTTTTGGCAGCGTGCCGCTATTTGTATTCATGTGCAATTTAGCCGCTAAATCCCGCTAAATCTCCGCTATAGCTCTCTATAGCTACAGTGCCATAAACGTTTTAGCCCGCCATTTAAAACATTGATCTTTACCTAGTTCAACAGATCATCTTATTAAAAAAAAAAAATCGGATTGCATAGAAATCGACCCAATTTCAAATTGATAATTAAAATTTAAAAATCTCGTATCATTTGGCTACTACTTTCTTTAGTTCGGATTTTTTTAAAACATAAAAACAGAGTTAGAAATATTAATTTGAAATTCAAAATAAAATTGGATTGGAACATCTTAAAAATTTGGGCTTTGTTTAATTCTATATAATACTAATTTGAAATTGATTGCATACACGCACGCAATTTTTTTCTTCCTTAAAATATGTAATTTACAATTTTAAAATAACAAGACTACAGATTATCAAGAAAGACGTTTTACAATCACCGTTATATTTGGCTATGCAATCTTTATAAATCAGTATAAATAATATCATATATATCCTGCTTAATAATTAATTTATATAATATATATCCTGCTAAACAATTTAATTGATTTATTTAAGCATATTTAAAATCCTAATATATATATAGGTGTCAAGTGTTTATTTTCTTAGATACGGTTTACACAGAGGTACGTTGTTTTCTGTTTAATAATATATAAGTTATATTTTGTTTTATTCTAATACATGATTTTTACGTTCTTCCAATCATTCAAATATAAATGGTTACCTTAATAAAATTAATCCGTACATCGCACGAGTACTGCACTACTATTATTTCCAAAAAAAAAAAAATCTTGAAGCTTTGCCCATGGACGTTGTTGTGGCTTGCTAGACAAGTCTGCAGCCAAAAACTTCTGTAGCAAATATTAGTTAAAATAATTGTTTATTTGTTCGAGGAAAAGTACAACAGCTAATTAAGGCCACCCACACGAGGGCTTTGAATAGATTAATGAAGGTTTTGAGTTGTCAATATTCGAGCTGCCCGTTAGGAGAGAGGACAATATACTGACCAAATCCTATAATTATTAATGGATCTAAATTAAAAGTAGGATAATCTTGAATCTCACACGTATATATTGGTGATTATTGATCATCACAAGAAAATTGTATTATATGCATGTAATGACAAATTGGATCCATTCGTGTGCATTTGTAGAAGATTCAAAAAGATTTTGAGAAAGATTTAAATCCTATCTGTCTATGATGAAATGCAATAAATAATTTTTGTGAGATGCAAGCATGTTGTGTGTCTAGTCAATGTCCAATTAACTTTGAAATTTATCAACCGAGCCGAGTCGAGCATTGACTTTATCGAGCATGATTGACTTTTTTTTAGCTGCTCGAGCTCGAGTCGATAAAAAAATACAATAGCTTGAGTTTGGCTCGAGCTCGACTCGAAGTCAAAATGCGGCACGAAAATTTTTAAGTGGAAAGGTAAAATTACCAGTAAGGACCTATGTTAACATATATAAGGGGTATTTTAGCAGTTTAACATGTATCTCGAGCCACCCGACAAGACAAAATATGGGCTCGAGTTTGTACTCGAGCTCGATTCGAGTTCGGTCAAACTCGAGCTCGGTCGAGCTTTGACTCGAGCGCTCGCGAGCGGCTCGCCCGCTCGATTAGTTTGCAGCCCTACTCACAACTATTGAGGTACATAACTAAATATTCTTTAATTTAAGCTTTTGTTGATAATCAAATCCTCCCTATATATAATTACATAATGCGCTGAGCCTACGTGGCTGCTTCTGGTGCTTCGTAATCCTATTTGGCGAAGAATCATGCTTCGTAATTAGGCTTGGATGAATAATATTGATATATTAATAATTAATCATCTAGGTTCGGGTATTCCATAAATATTATTTAGCTAACTTAGGTATTTTAATATTACTTTTACTAATATAACCCTTTAATTTTTTTGTAATTTTACATAGTGAGACAATAAGTGACTAATATATCCCTGAATTTTGATTTGTTTCCTTCAATAAGCTATTGAATTATAAATGTATTTTAAAAGTTGATAACTTTTGTATTTCTTATCGGTTTTACATCTATAATATATCAAATTAATCATCTTTTGATGATCTTGGATTTGACATCCATATTATATATATGAAATAAATAAATTATATTTATCTTTATAATAATAAAAAATAATAATATTTATTAAAATTCATTAGAAAAATAAAATTATTTCTCAATTGATATAAATTATTTATTAAAATTCATTAGAAAAATAAAATTATTTCTCAATTGATATATTTATATGTAATGTAGTTATATATTGTAAGTTAAAAAAAATTAGTATAATATAACACAAGTAAGTCGCACAAATAAAAAGTGTCACAATAAATATATAATAATATATATATTCTTATAAAAGGTATTTAAATTTTCAAACTACTTTTTCTTATTAATTTTAGATTTTAAGAAAAAAATTAGCAAGCACCCGTGTAATACACGGGTGTTGTACTAGCAATATAGTGTTTAAAAATATAAAAATTGACAAATTAAAGTAAGAACACGCGATTTTCATAATATTATTATATGGTTGGTAATTTGCTCTAAAATTATGCAAAGGCATATACAAAGAGAATTAATTATTAAGAACACAAGTGGTATATATATATATATATATACATATCTTAATTAACAATGACACTAATGCAGTTTACGTCAAAACCATTCGTGCACAAAGTCTTCTTATATTTGCACTGTTGTTGCATGTGCAATTATGCAGTTACATCAAAGCCATTCGTGCACAACAATTTGCAATATTATGGTGTATTTCTTAAACATGTGAAATAATAAATACCTTTCTCGATAATTACTTGAAAAATTATTGGTGTTAATTTCACCACAATTACTAGAAGAACAACACACCAAGGTCAAAATAACAAATTATCGCCATACAACAATATAAATATCAATCTGGCGGAGAAAATGTCAATCAGCCAAGAAAGTGTCGATCTACCACATAAATGCCGATATGCCACATGAGTGTCGATTTGCAGAAAAGTGTCGATCCGAGCTACCAATGGCCTATCTAGTAAAGAGATGGGGACAAACACCCTCATGTATGTAACCTATGTTTACAAAGATTGACACGTCGAGTGGAAAAAATTGGGGAACGAATTAAAATTAGTAAACTAAAATTATATTTTTCCGATTTTTTTTTTCAGTACAAAGAAGTAGGCCAAAGGCCTAGATGCGGACTCAACAGGGGTAGGATACCCTTATATTATTGTGGCTCAGCCAGAGACGTAATCCTGCCGGAGGGGACGAAATTTTGTGCAAGCCAAGGAGAGAAGAAGATGCTAGGCCCTTTTTCGAATTTTTTTGACAATGTGATTCATGATTTAGCAAATTGGAAATATTAAAAGAAAAAAAAGGACAAAAATTGGTCAAATGTGTGCGTGTATCCACGTGTAAAGCCAGCTCACCTGTGAAGACAAGACAGATCACAATTGGTGGCACTCGTGTGCAATGACCAATAATGTGGATCGTGCCTCGTAATCTCATAATAATAATATCATTAACAGTACTAATTCGTAATTAGGTTTAATTCATTTGTCCTAATTGTAGCAAACACAACACAAACATCGCCTTATCAACCGCAAATCCAGATCAAAACCACACTACTAACTAAAAAGCCAAAAATAATAAAATAAAAATAAATCTTTTAATTTCCACACATATATATATACCTCACCACCAAATGCTATTTTCTTCATTCATCCAAACTATCTCCATTACCATACATTACTCTTCACTTCTTCTCTTTCAAAAATCCCTTTTGCAAAAGTTTATATATTTTTGAGAAAAAAAATGGCATTCTCACCTATGAGATCAAAAGCCTCTAACCACACCCGATCCCTTAGCTTGCCTTCAAAATCGAACCCCGTTTTCGCACAATTCGAAGAAGCCCTATCGAACATGCGAAAGTCCGAGTCCTCGTGCTCGTCTATTTTGTCGATGAACAATAGTCTCGTCGGCCTCAAACACTTATATTCCAAAATCGACGACTTGCTTCAATCGACACACGTACAACAAATAATATCTCGAGAATCGCATGTGAAATTATGGGCCGACCGAGTCTTAGATGGCCACATCACCCTTTTGGACGCTTGCACGACCGCGAAAGATCACGTATTGCTCGCGAAGCAGGGTGTACAACAGTTGCTTTCCGCCGTGAAACGGAAAGACTCGGATAGCATCCGTTTCTATCTCGACTCGAGAAGAAAGTCGAAGAAAATGATCCGAAAGTCATTGAAAGAGTCGAGGAGTATTGTGTCCCGGGCGAGAGACGGTGAGACGGTGAATGATCTAGCGTGTATGCTAAACGAGGCAGAGCTGATCAGTGTTAAAGTGCTCGAGTCTTTGTTGACGTACTTGATTGGGACCAATAAAGTACAAACGAGATGGGCATTGGTCTCGAAGATGATGAGTAGCAAGAAAATTGCGTCGTGCCAAAACGAGTTTGAAAAAATCGACGTTTTTTTGCAGTCGAGCAGTCTAGGAGATTTACGGGTTGATGAGGAGATTATCATTATGAGTGAGTTGAAACGAATGGACTCGAGCATCCAAAATCTCGAAGAAGAACTCGATTGCTTATTTAGGCAATTGATTAAAACTAGAGTTTTGCTACTCAACTTGCTCAACAACTAGCTTGTACATGAAAACATATTACCTTGTAAATTTCGATTGATGAGTGGTTTCAAATGAAAATATATATGTGCATTTGTTTCTACATAGACTGCATTAATTGACTTATCTGAAGAGAAAAAATTAAGTTGTTTATTGTTTTTAGATGCACATAAGAAAATAAACAGAACGAGGTTTGAACTCATCAAAAAGTCGACTTTCACATTCAACAACTCCTTATATTCTGTGTTCTAGAAATCGATATGAGCCAGCAGGAGCGCCTAGGCGGAGATTAGTCGGCGTCTAGGCGGGCCTAGAAATTAAGATTAATACCTTATTATTATTAACTAAAGCATATTTTGCTTAGGAGACCAAACAAAATTGTCAATATCCTCAATATGTGATACATCTATGGTTAGATCAAAGGATGCATTATTATAACTAAAGCATATTTTTTCGATAAATTGATCATCAAAAACTGGTTTTTTTTGTCAATAATGGAAAAATGGATTGGCAATCATTTTGGTGGTTGATCAAATTCAACAACCCGACACAATATTTTGCAAAATCTAGAAAATAATGCAGAGCCCCAGCCACCTCACCGTCCCACTTTTAAAAATTATTGTGCAAGAATTCAAATGAACATACAAGAATACATGATCTCATGGCTTAAATATGCATATATTTCAACAAATATGCATATATTTTTAAATTGAAATCTCATACTCTTATATACAATCAATGACTAAAAATCCATAAAATCAGCACATATAATATATAGTTTGCTAATCTAAAGGGTCACGACTGAAAATCCAAATCATCTTTGAGAATTGTGTACACATTGTCGACTAACCTTGGCGTACTCAGTGAGACGGGTCGGACCCGAAACCGGCACCAGGTGGTGGCGTCGGACGGAGGCGGATTGAAATAGCCAGCGACCCTGCTCACTAGTACCAAAAACCTCAAGCCATACGACGTCGTTACAGGTATCTGTTTGGAAGTCTCTTTTTCCCGGTAATAACTTCCACATGTCCTTCCTACAATTTGGGCTAACAATTTCCTTCTCAAGTATTTGACTCCACGATTTTTAAGCGCAGATTTAATGTCTACGACGAGCCAATAAAAGGATTAATAAGCAGCCATTGTTCATTTTGTACAAGTTATTTGAACTCAAGCTGTGGGAGAAAAATCAACACTACATGCAAATATCTCTCTGAGAGTTTATTCTGAGGAGTTGAATTTGACAAAAACTAGGATAATTTAGGGGGCGATTGTTTATGTTTTCAACACCGTAATCATAGTGTCTCAGCTCAGTGGTTCATTCGATGCCTTATAATGCCTTTTGCCTCGTCAAGCTCAAAATTGGCACTAGAAAATTCTGAGCTCTTGAAGAAAGCTTCCAGGTCACTGATTCCATAATCAAGGGCCTATATAAAACATTAAATCGATCAAGATACTAGATGAAAGAGAAAAAGGAAGTTGACAGAAGAAAGAGAAACGAAAAGAAGAAAAAAAAACACATTCCAAAACACTGATCGAAATTGAATATACCTTGCTTCGCAGTTCTTCCACCTTCACATCAACATAAGAAAGATTTGCCGTGGAACCAGACAGAATTTGTTCAAAGTGCAGGGTATCCTTCACAAGTACTCGTAGAAGGTGAAGAACTATTCCATTGAAATCCTTCTTGAAAATCATATATCTTTTGAAGCTCTGCAGCAAGTTTGAGAAAAACAAATAAATATACACTATTCACCATGCACAAGCATACAAGAGTAAAAATGCATCACATATAATGGATTATGGAGTCTGTAAATTTTATCTCTCAAGTATTTCATAGAACACAAGAGGTAACAGATGTGACAACAGAAAGGTATAGGCCTCAAAAATAAATATGTAAATCTGACATTCGATTGGCTCTATAGGGTACCTTCTGCAAAGCTTTCTGCACACCGAACCATTGGGTTGAAATGAAGGATTCCAGCAGAACTCGGATAGCCATGTCCACATCTTCTTGAGTGACATGTTGCCTAAGGTGCATTCTTGCGTGGGCTTCAGACATCCGTATCATTGATTCTATGTGTCTAACTGCTATAGGAATTCCTTGTCCATGCTACAAAAGTCAAATAAAACAAGACCATTCATCCATTGAGTTAATCAGTTTTCAGATTCAATTGAAGGCAGCAGATATTGTTTCATGAAGGATGCTATATATATGCCAAAAATTAAATCTCACCGAAGATTCTCTGCGTAATTCAGCATAGACTTGTGTAAGCTTGTCAAGATCTGCATCTTGCAGCCTTGGAAAAATATTCAGCTTGGCATATGTTATGTACTTCTTTAGCAACTCTTGGGGAATTATCTGAACAAAAGGAAATACTTTTACAGGGACCGAAACACATATAGGCAATCAACTTGGCAGGAAAAAAAAGGGATATTTTAATTAAGACCTCAGGATCCGTTTGTCTCGATGAATCTTGGTCTCCATCCTGTGAATTACTCACAGGTATATCCTCAAAGCTGCCACCTTTAGCTTGTGAGTTGTAGTGACTATCAACTACAAAATGTGCCAGCATCTCATCCAATAAAGGATCAGGCACATCCTGCATACATTAGATATTTCTTTTAAAGATATAAGGTATTAAAACGGTTAATAATTATAAGTTCAATGCTGAATTAAGATGAATTTAAAAAAGAAATAGACCTTGACCACACAGAGAATATCAAAACGAGAAATAATTGGATCGGTCAATTCCACATTTTGTGTAAATGTCTTTGAGGAATCATATCTGCAAGAGAAGATTTACGAGAGAAATGTTAGGCTACAGATCAAGTTAAAAGCTTAAAACAGAGTTTGCTCCCTGCCTATTTTCCGGTCAAAGTGAAGTCAATCTTACTTAAACAAAGGGCAGTATAAAAATCAAAGCAATAATTGTTATAGAAGCATTTATGTATTACTTCTCTTAATATCCAAAATGCGTTCTTGAGATTCTTTGGTGGACTCGTAGTTCCAGATGGAACCAGATTACAAGGAAGAAACCAACACGCTTAAGCCAAAAAAAAATAATAATAATAAATAAATAAATGCTCAGAAAGCAATGTTGTATGTCAGCCTTAATAACTGTCTGACATCACAGAAGGAATTACTACTTGAGATTAATACACTACAGTATCAGTAGAAGGTGACTTCTATTTACCTTCCTCCAACAGGATTCGCTGCTGCAATTACAGAGCAGCGAGCCTGGAGAGATGTGACAATCCCAGCTTTTGATATGCTAATACTCTGTTGCTCCATTGCTTCATGAATGCTTACCCTGGATTACAGTAGGTACTTATGAGCAAGACAATGCAGCAATCGAGTAGAAATGCCTCGAAATTCAATATTTTACCTGTCCTGATCATTCATCTTATCAAACTCATCAATAAGACATATGCCTCTATCAGCCAAAACAAGAGCGCCTCCTTCTAGAGTCCACTCCCGCGTAACTGGATCTTTGTGAACCGCTGCTGTGAGACCTACAGCAGAAGCTCCTTTCCCAGTAGTATAAACTGCTCTCTGTCCAGTCTTTTCAACATACCTGATAATGTATTCCATAATATAAGGCTGGTATAGTTCTCAAAAGGGCAATCCGGCCCTGAAGTTGAAATTTTATAAAAGGTAAGCTCTGACAACTGGAATCAGGCAGAGACTCCAGTCTTGGTAAGATTTAATGATTTATGCTCCATAACAAAAAGACAGTTAAAAATATTTAATGTAAGGATTTGAAATCCAAAATAATCTTAAACTACCAACAAACGAGACGAATTCAACTTTTTTAGGGGCTTAGATTCTTAGATCATAATTCCTTCAACCGAAATAAATACAAAGATATTTCGTACTTAAGAAACTGAGACTTGGCTGTTCCAGGATCACCAAGAAGCAGTACATTTATATCCCCTCGCAGACGGTGTTTGCCTTCAACATTTTTCTCTTGACCACCAAACATAGCAAGAGCTATTGCAGTCTTTATGTCCTCATGACCATAGATTGATGGAGCGATCGACTTGATAATCTGAATTATTTGACAAGCAAAACCAAAAGTAAAGACTTAGGCAGGAAACAAATACATCAATAGAACGCAGTCAATTAACACTGACTTACCCGTTCTCCGATTCTTGGGTCTTTGGCCAACTTCTCGATTTCGTCTTTGTCCTCTTGGGTAAGCTTGTAGGCTGAAAAGAGGTCATGTTTTTTGGAAATGTAATTTGCTTCAATAACCGTGGCAAAGACGGGGAATCCATTCTTTGTATTCAGTGACAAGTCAAAGTTGTTGGTATATTTGCCAGTCACTTCCTGGATATTGGAAAAAAAAAATGCCACATGAGAGGTGATTAATACTGATAAACTTGGTAGAGCATAAATTGAAGGTTAAAGATGTGAGAAAATTACAATCTCTTCCCCTGGTCGGGCACAATCAATGAGATCATTCAACAGTATCACTTCTTTGTATCTTGGGAGTCGACCAGCAGGAACAATGCCCGGGCTTTCTTGAAGAGTAAGTTTCTGATAATTCCTATATATTGTCTGTGTAAAGAATGAAAGTTCACTGAAATTATCATTATAAGTTGCATTTAATAGCTAGAAAGAGCATGAGGGTATCTACCTGTTCAATGTTAACAGTAAATGGTCCTTTCGATTGACACTCTGGACAAGAACCAACCTTCACCTCTGAGTAAGAATTCTGGAAAAAAGGTCCCAGAATTGCCCCACATTTGTTACAGTCATATTTAACTTGCTGCAACTGAGGAAAGACTCCAGAACGTCTTGTCACAACTCCACCAATACGAATCATGGTGTTCAAATGTATCTGCCTGCAGATCACAATGGAAAGCATATTGCACAAACTACAATAAACCCATCCACATTTCTCAGATAAGTAATTTCTAAACTCAAACAAATATTACCGAATATTGCGTATCTGATCATACACGGACAGGTTGGTGATGCGCACATATATCTTTTGATGGATTTTGCTGTAATTTGG